GTGAGATTCAAATGGGATTTGGAAAAAAAGCCTCGTGGTGGAGGTGGATTGTGCGGGCAGATTTAGATTTCCCCTGAACCTGTGTGGAGGCCGCTGTGAGTTCGGGAATAAAGAATTGCTGTTTGAATCTACAAGGTGTGTGGTGGCTCATGATTTCTGTGCCAAGCCCAGACATCGGCACTAGCCAAGTTTTAATAAATCTGTTCCTCAGTGCTTTGAACAGCATTCAGTATTTAATTTTTGTTTCATTTAATAGCTGTTAATCAGGAACATACTTTATGTAGTCCATAATTTGCATTCCCTTAATTACTAAGGAAGTTGAGTCTTTTTTTTCTCTCAATACTAGGAACATTAAGTTATGTGCTTTGCAAGTGTACCTTTATGGCAGCAAATGAGCAGTACATTTGAAGGCTCTGGAGCACATAAAATGAGCCTGTTTGTGTCCTTAGCCACGTATCAAAGGTTATAGGTGAGACWATAAATAAGCTTTTTGTGTAATATGTACATTTAACTCTTTATCTTTCCTATTTAAAACTATACACTTATTTTGTGACTCTCCCTTAAAATATTTTTAAAATTGTAGTTACAGATACATAATATAAAATTTACCATCTCTATCCTTTTTTTCCCCTGATACTGGGAAATGAACCCAAGGGCACCCTATCATTGAACTATGTCTCCAGCCCTTTTATTTTTTATTTTRAAACAGGGTCTCACTAAGTTGTCAAGGCTGGCCTCAAATTTGCCATCTTCCTGCTTCAGCCTCCAGAGTAGTTGGGATTATATGCTGCACCACTTCACCCAGCTTGCATAGAGACATCCTAATGACCAGGCCACTTCTAGAAGAAATGATAGAACTTTGTGTCATATGGAAGAATAAAAAACATAATYCCTAACCTGGGAGATTAGATAAATGGTAGTTGGGAAGAATAGCCTAAATCAATGGGGCCAGCTGACTGGAACCTTCAAAACAACATCTTTAAAATGGAGGTAATAAATACWATTATTCATTTTGCTGAGAATGCTACCAAAATATACTGGAGATGTCAAATTAACATTTTTCTTTTCTTTTTGCAGTACTAGGGATCAAACCAAGGGCCAGGCAAACACTCTATCACTGAGCCACACTGCCAACCCTCAAATAAATGTTTGAAAATGGGGAAAGAAGTTGGACTGAGAATACACAGACATAGTAGGCAGCTATTTCGCATCACCTAATATGTTAAGTGACTAGTATTATGTAAACTTCCAAAGCCATACCCTGAGTTGTCCATCTTGCTTGCACCATGCTGTGGTTACCAATTCTTCCTTTCTGCTGACTCTTTCAGGAGAAGATGAGCTTGGAATATTTATCCTGGAAAAACAAAGAGTATCACCCAGATTTTCCAACTGAGGATTTCTTCCATATAATCTCTCATGCAATGAACCAACCTTTCTTTCTTTCTTTCTTTCTTTCTTTCTTTCTTTCTCTCTCTCTCTCTCTCTCTCTCTCTCTCTCTCTCTCTCTCTTTCTTTCTTTCTTTCTTTCTTTCTTTCTGAGCCACATCCCTAGCCTATATATATATATATATTTTTTTTTTATATATATATATTTTTATATATATATATATATTTTTTTTTTTTTTCACACAGGGTCTCACAAAGTTGCTTTGGGCCTTGCTAAATTTTCTGAGCCAGGCCTTGAACTTGAATCCTCCAGTCTCAACCTACTGAGTTCCTGGGATTCCAGATGTGAACCACTGTACCTGACACAACTAATATTTCTTGAATATACACTATGTGCCTAGTGTTAGGAGAATGATGTGAAGTAAAAATGGAAATATCCTTTCCATTCATGGATCTCAAGGACTAGTAGAGAAAACTGGCATTGATCAATAAATCACTAAAACAACTAAGTAATTTTAAATTATCATTGAAAGAAAGAAATAGCATGCTATGAAAGCAGTAATAGGGGTACCAAAACAAGTTCAAAGGTTAGGGAAGGTTTCTGAAAATTTTTCCTTTTTTTTCCTTCTTCCACACACACCTCCCCCAAGCCTCATCATTAAACTTCACACAAGAAAAGGTAAAACAGTTTTATTCAAGAGAAATCCAAGACTGAGTACCTTTTCTCTATGCATTTGTAAACTTCCAACTTCCATGTGTCTAGTCCAGAATATCTTGTCAGTGACATTATCTGAATTGGAAACTGATACCAACCTTGGTAGGCAAGCAAGTGTAACTACTTGCATTTTGCTGTTGAAGAATATTTAATCTGAGAGTTTAGGTAACTTGCCTAAAATCATATAGCCAATAGTTAATGGTAGCACTGGGACTTGAACTCAGATCTCATAACAAGTAGACTGTTATTATGGTTTGAATATTGTTGAGTGTATCTTCCAGAAATTCATTTGCTAGGAGCATGGTATCCCCATGTAATGGTATTGAGGTGGTGGGGGTCTTAAGAGATGATTAGATCATGGGGGCCCTTGATAGAGATTAATGTAGTTCTTGCAGAGCTTGGTTAGTTCCCACAAGAGTTGATTGTTATAAAAGAGTGAGCCTGGCCCCTCYGCATTCTTTTGCTTCTTCTCTCACTATGTGGTCACTCTCAGATGTGCCCCTATCATGAGATGCCATTCACCGTGTTATGGCGCAGCCAGAATAACCTCTGGCATGGCTGTCAGATCTTGGTTGTTTTTCATTTATCAAGTACCCAGCCTCAGGCATTTTGTTATAGCAAYACAAAACAATTAATYAATGGTGCAATCAGGAGCCACTGAAGCCACTGGAAAGCAGCATGACCTAGTTTAGGTTTTAGTCAATCATTTTCTGGATAATAGGACAGAAAGTGTTGGTTATCAAAGTATTGTCTGGGATTATCTATGGAGTCAGAATTTCTTGGGTAGGGGCTCAGGAATCTGGTAATCAGCTGGGTTTGGGAACTTTTTTTTTTCTGATTTCAGTGCAATAAAAAGAGAAGCACTGTATTAAAGAAGGCAGTGGYACAGCCAGTTAAGGTAACTACACTGGTGGTTGCAGTAATCAGGTTAAAGGGGATGAGTTGCAGAGAGAAAGGAATGTACATTTGGGTCAATTAAATGGCATGGACAGAATTTTCTACTCYACCCTTCCATAGATAGGGAAGTGGAATTAGATCTCTACCTGGCTCCCATGGTTCCAGAGTCTTTGGGCTTTACTGTACATAGTTGCTTATTTACATATCTTGATTTTAACTATTTTGTATTTATTTTTCTTAGCACTTATCTTGCAAATTTCCATCTTATCTCTAACTGCCTCAAGTCTTGTAGTTCTCTTTTGTTTTCATAAAGTGTAGGAGAGAAATAAGGAATAGCCAGGTAAAGTCTTAAAAGTTTTAAAACAGGGCTGGGGATGTGGCTCAAGCGGTAGTGCGCTCGTCTGGCATGCGTGCGGCCCGGGTTTGATCCTCAGCACCACATACAAACAAAGATGTTGTGTCCACCAAATACTAAAAAATAAATATTTAAAAAAAAAGTTTTAAAACATTTCTTTCTTTTGGACTGGGCACATAGGGGGAAAAGAATTAGATTTTATTAGACAAGCACAGACTGAARAGAGAAAACAGCAGGCCTTGGGGAAATGCACTAGATCTCTGGTTCCTTGAACCCTAGGAGACCTTTGGGAAACCCAAACACAATAATTTCAGAAGCCCAGGGGGTGACCCCATTTCCTCTGCAAGGTTATTACTGGGTGTCAGGAGCAGTTCAGGAATTCAGGAAACTATAAAGAAACCACAACAGCTTCAACAACGGCCTCCTCAAACGTCAATATCAACAACCTCAATAATGAAATTGATTAAAGTTCATCTCCCTCCACCCACAACCAGAGATCCAAAGCTCGGAGGCAGAAGGGACTACAGGAACTCTTCATTGCCCAACCTAGTTCTTCCTCATCCCCCGCCTATTTTCCCCATTATCTCAAGGATCCTGGAAACTGCCTCCCCCATCTCTGGGTGAGGGCACCATGGCCAAGGACACCTCCACTTTATTCTCACTGCCAAGAAGGTTAAGATTAAAGCAAGCTGAGTCAAAGGTTACGGCCGGCAGGGCTGAGTTCTCTGAGAGGCCGTGGAGGATGAGCCAAGCAGGTGCAGTGGAAGTGATGATGGAGAAAAGGGTGGCAAAGTGGGCGGGGCCAGGGCTCACAAGAGCCTCGCGGAGCAAGGCCGGCGCCTAGGGGCGGGGCCCTCAGGGATGATGGATGCAGGGAAGGGTGCGGCCCAGAGGCGGGACCAGGGTGTATCTCGGCCAAGATTGGATAACGGCTGAGCGCGGGGAGGAGGCCGAGCACAGTCAGGCCCGCAGTTCAGCAATTCGCGTTATATACGACGGCGGCGGCGGCGGCGGCGGCGGCGAGAGCCGGCTGGACTGTAGCTCCCACCCGGTTCCGAGCCCCTCCTGCCTCTCCCAGGAATTTTCTTTCTGTCCTGGCTGCGTTCTGTCCCTCTCTGAGGTTCATTTTGTCCTCGGCCCCGCAGTCTCTTTATCAGCCCTCCAAGCCCTGGACCTGGACKCCTGCAGAACCAAATGGTCACAGCTATGAATGTTTCGCACGAAATGGAGCAACTGTTCCAGCCCTATAACTTCGAGACGTTCCAGGATTTAAGRCCCTTTTTAGAAGAATACTGGTGAGACCTGGGAATGGGGAAGGGCCAGATGTGTGTGTGTGCGGTGGGCAGACCCTACTGTTTGGTCCCGGCGAGGGTCCGGGCGAGGGGTAGGCTGAAGGCCAGCAATGATTTTCTTAAAGAGCAAAGTTATAGGATCCCTCATACTAGCTCCAACCCATCGTTGTCCAAGATGCAGGTAGTGTGGCACCTCGAAGAGATAAGAGCTAGAAGAAAGGATGCAGAAATGAGTATGGGGAGCAGGGTGTGGGAGGAGACAGAAGCCAAAGAAAGAGTGTAGAGAGAACGGGTAGTTGAAGAATGAGGTTGATTAGAACCCCTCCAACCTGCTCTACTTAATTATCATGCTCCCTAAAAGCCCCATCATCTTTTCTGTGGAGACTGAAGCAAAACCAGGGAGTTCTTCCAAGCTTTCCCCRGGCTCTCTGGCTTAGCCCTAAAGCTACCCCAGAGGTGTCTTTGGGCTGACTTTGTGCTCAAGCCAATTTGCCACAAACCAACCAATGCAGAAGCTATTGCCACATTCTTACACCACAGCCCTGGGTCATGGGCCAATGGTCATCAGTCTCCAGCCTAATAAAGAATGCAATAATCACCTTGGATATAGTCTCTACCCTGTGTTATAATTAACATGGTTAGGAGAGGACCTCCCTCCCACCACCTTTRCAAATAAGAAAACCAAAATATCACATGGCTAGTAAGTGGCAGAGTTGGAACTCTAATCTAGACATTAACCTGGAGAGATGAGTGGGCATTTCTCTGACCAACAGCCACCTTTTAGCCCATCTCTGCCTTCTGCCTGCCAGGACAACCTCATTCTTCATAGTTCTGATATACCTGCTGCTCATTGTTGTGGGGCAGAACTACATGAAGGATCGGAAAGGCTTCAACCTGCAGGGACCTCTCATCCTCTGGTCCTTCTGCCTTGCAATCTTCAGGTAAGGTAGTCCCTCCTCCTACCTAGTATTTAGACCTCCATTTCATCCCTTAAAACTTTCCAGAAACTCAGTTTTATTGACTCCCAACTTTTACCTTCTTCTATATGCCCTCTTTTCCTTCTTTTCTAGACCCCAACCTGGCAATTTCTGCTCCATCCCTTTTGCACTCATGGAATCTGTACTTCCAAATCTCTCTAGCCTTAGCAGGGCATAGTGACACATGCCTGTAATCCCAAAGATTTAGGAGGCAGAGGCAGAAGAATCACATGTTCAAAGCCAGCCTTGGCAACTTATTGAGGCCCTAAGCAACTTAGCGAAATCTTCTCTCAAGATGAAAAATAAAAAGGTCTGGGAYGTACCTCAGTGGCTAAGCACCCCTCAGTTCAATTACCTGTACCAAAAAAAAATTTGTACCAAAAATATTTCTCCAGCCTCTAATACTGTCAGCAACTAACACCCTCTTCCAATACTGTCCCAGTCCTTCCTTCCCATGTTTTCTTCCCCTAAATCCTTTGATTTTCCCCAAACTGCTACTCACTTCTTAGGCTTCCACCCCATCCCAAGAACACTAACTCTACTTTCAGTCTCAGCTCCCTTCACATTCCCTGGTATTTTCCAACCCTCATTTCCTGTGGAATACTGGATGAATCTATCAAATTGGCTCCAGGATCTCAGAATCTGTGATCTATTCCCCCTGCAAGGGTAAGGAGGTGATGGAGCACAAGACTTAGTGACCTTGTCAAGCTAGGGGAAAGGGTGGATTGATGCCTTACACTCTCTTTCTCTGTTCCATTTCAGTATCCTGGGGGCAGTGAGAACATGGGGCTTTATGGGGACTGTGCTACTTAGGGGGGGCCTGAAGCAAACTATGTGCTTCACCAGCTACGCTGAAAATGCCACAATCAGATTCTGGTCCTGTGTCTTTCTTCTCAGCAAGATCATTGAACTTGGTGAGTGACAAGACTTTGTCTYTCTGGTGCCCAGTGAATCGCACCCTTCCTCAGAGCCCTCCCCTCACTCATCATATGGAGAATACCTTCCCCACCCCTAGGTCCTAACAACACATGTTACCTAAGCCCTTCTTCAGGTTCTCTGCCACGAAAACTCCTCCCCACCCTGAGAATTCCTCCTGGGCCCCTACACCCAATGTAGAGGATGGTCCCAGCACTGGAAGGTTTGCCAGCTATGACTTCTTATCTCCCAGGAGACACAGCCTTCATCATCCTGCGCAAGCGACCACTCATCTTTGTGCACTGGTACCACCACAGCACAGTGCTACTATTCACAAGCTTTGTATACAAGAACAAAGTACCTTCAGGTGGTTGGTTCATGACCATGAACTTCGGTGTACATGCCATTATGTACACTTATTACACTCTGAAGGCTGCCAAAGTGAAGTGCCCCAGGATGCTTTCAATGCTCATCACCAGCCTGCAGATCCTGCAGATGTTTATAGGAGCCATCATTGGCATCCTGCCTTTCATCTGGAGGCAGGAACAAGGGTGCTACATCACAGTGGAAGAATTCGCCTGGTCCTTTGTCTTGTATGCCACCTATTTCATCATCTTTGCCCACTTCTTCCGACAAACCTACTTCAGGCCCAAGGTCAAAGCCATGGCCAAAAGTCAGTGAAAGATTGGAGAGAAAGTGCCTCAGATTTCCTCTTCCAAAAGGGCACTAAGGGGCTGGGCTTAGGTTTGGGAGAATGATTAGGGAGATTTCCCTGCATTATTTCCCCATGGGAAATGTGCTGCCAAGGTGGCAGGAAGTTATCACAGACAAGAGGTGTCACCCCTGGGGTAAGGGTGTGGTCTAGTACTTTAATGAATGAGTGAAGGCCAAGGAGGCCCTGGGAAGGCACTAGGACTGGATGGGCTCCCAGAGCTGAGTTATTTATATTTCTATCCAGAAATCTTTCTCCTTTTTGTTCTATTTTTAAATTAAGCCTGCAAACCAGATGGAAGATGGAGCTTAGGGATTTGGAGGAAGAAGTGGGCTCCTGTGATGGGAGAAGGCTGCTGGTAATACGGTGATCTGCAGGTGGGAGGCTTGAGGGGTGTGAGGAAGGATGAGGCACACACACAGACAATAACAATCCTAGGCCTGTAGGCACTTAATAAATGTCTGTTACAGACCATAATTTTATTGCTGTTAGAGGCTCAAGCCCCTCTTAGGAACAGTGAAAAACGGGTGCAGAAAGGCGGAGTAACGTTATCTCAAAGTCTTAAGCTTCCTAAGTTGCAGAATTGACCCTTGCAAACTTTGGAAAGACCTACCAGCTGTTCTCCCTGAGACCACGAGGTGGCGCCGCAGCACCAGCTTTGACCGATGCCAGCGAAGTAGCTGGTTCAACTCCACACACGCGTGCACACCTTTGCTCCAGGAGTCCTGGTTTCCCCACTCTTTAGGGGAGTGAATGGGACTGAAGCCCCAGAAGCCTGGACCTTCACCTCCTTCCTCTGCATCCAGATTTCTTTTAGACAATGGGGGAGGTTGAAGGGATGAGGGCTCAACCGCAACTCTGAATCATCAGGCCTTTGACAGTCCGCGCACATTTATTTCATTTATCTTTGAAAACGGAGTAGAGGGAGTCTGGAGAAGGCGGGATGGGCCAAGGGTGAGTTGGCCCAGGGGGCTGGTCCCTATTCCAGGACTTAGTCCCAGGGTCGTGATCTGCCTGTAGGGCCCAGTTCACCCCTTAGAGCCGTGAAGGGGACGGAGCTCCTGAGCAATCCGCCTCCCAGCTGCCCGTGAACCCCTCTCAGACACTGGGGCGGGGGCAAACCAGTCTAGAMGACCCCAGTCCGGGGAAGCTGTGAATTATTGACCCCGCCCAAAGGGATGATCCACCCGCCCGTCGCTCATACAGGCCGTTCCACGGCGTACTGGCACGGACTGAGGTTGGCAGCCGGGGGTGGCCCGGGCACAGCGGGGTAGCTGAAAGAAGCGTGTTGTTTGGCTTTGAGCCGCAGGCTGGCCAGGCTCGAGTTACACGGGTCCCGATATACGTAGGGAGAAGAGGCGGCTGCAGCCGCGGCTGCTGCGGCCGAGGCGTAAGGACAGGACACTGCCCCAGAGGACACGGCSCCCGGAGCCAGCCCGGGAGGGGCCCCGCCCAGGCCCTGTAGGGCCCCGGGGCCTGGTACAGTGCCCGGGGCAGCTGCGGCTGAGGGCACCATGGAGGCGGCGATGGAGCTGGGTGGCGAGAAAACGGGCTGCGATGCCAGAGGCCCCACGTTGACAGAGTTGAAGGCGAACGGGAAGGTCTTGGCGGCGAGCGGCGGGGCGAGCGCCTTGGGTGGCCAGTTGCCATAGGARTAGCCGGGGTACACTTCCTCATAGGGTGGCACCAACCCCCCCAGCGGCGCTGCGAAGCCGCCCTTGCACAGCTCTGCCTGCTGGCTGCGCTCGCGCTTCCGCCACTTGGCGCGTCGGTTCTTGAACCACACCTGCGGGCGTGGGAGAAAAGCTATTAGGATTCAGGGTGGGATGGGGCTGGGGGCCAGCCAAGTGGTTGATAAGTGGAGCACCCAGGAGGGGATTGAGGTCCCAGCCCGAGCCGTGCGGAGGATAAACGAAAGGTGGCTGGGGACAGGTTGAAAGCGCACAGGGCCAGGCACCCGAGAACAGAAACTGTGGGTGGTAGAACAGAGTCAGCAGCCTCAGGGTCTGGGGGGACAGTAAGATGGATCAAAGATGGGTAAGGAAAGAAACAAAGAGATCGGGTCGGGGAAGAAGCAACACGCGCTCGCCAGTGGTAGAGAACGGTAAAAGCAGAGACTGAAGGTTGGAGGGCAGGAATGGGGGTGTCCCGATTCCGAACACGGGGTGTCGGGTGTTGGCCTCGAGGTGGAGCAGGCAGGGCTTCAGAACCACAGCTGCGGAGGGGATTGGAGGAGGGAGGCCCAGGCTAGTGAGGGTTGAGGGTCAGGTAGGCAGTACCCGCACGCGGGCCTCGGTGAGGTTGGTCCACACTGCGATCTCTTCGCGCGTGCTCATGTCAGGGTAGCGGTTCCTCTGGAAGGTCGCTTCCAGCTCCTGCAGCTGCTGGCTGGTGAAATGCGTGCGCTGCCGTCGCTGCTTCTTCTTCAGCGAGCCGTCCTCGGGAGAGCCACTGGGCAGCGAGACAGAGGCCTTCTCCGAGTCTGGAGATGGCGGGGGAGAGTAAGGTCAMAGGGCGTCCAGGCCTGAGAGAATTGTAGGGTTTTGGAACCTCCTCAACCGCCCGCTTGCTCCCACCCAGGCGGCCACGCAGGGTCACACCCGATTAGAAGCTGAGTTGTTATGTCCTACATCCCCAGGAGGGGGCGTGCTCACCGCTGTGCTCTTGGCCTTTGCAGCCGTGTTCTGGGAGCGAAGGATGGGGAGTGCCGGCGTCTGACAGCGACAGGGCAGGGCTCCGGGCCTCTGCCTCGCTGAGCAGCCCGAACTCCATGGAGCCAGGGCTCTGGAGGGAAGAGAAAGCACACATCAAGTTAATGGGAATAAAATCATGGGATAAGCCGGTTCCTTGTAGGGTTCCCCACAAATTTCCTGGCCCTTTCTTGGTCACTGACAAAGAGCTACCCCTGACTAGTGTGCCTAGGATAGAAAAGGGAGACAGGGCCCAAGGAGAAAAGGGTGTATACTGAGAGGTTTTATGCACACATATACACTATACTTTGTTAACTGATGAGCACATAGAAGTGTGCCTGGTGCACATTTGTTGTTCAATATTTATATTCAAAATGCATGCTGTGACACACCACATCCCCTATACTGCATCCCTCCAAAAGTCACTTTCTTCTCACCTGAATGTTCCTTATCCCCATATGGTCAAACATGTCCCTCAGCCAATCACACTTGAGGAACAACCTGAACCTCTGTTATTCATCTTCCTTAGGACAGATGTTATTTTGAACCAGGTATGATATTTCATCCTTAAGAATAATCACTGCTATCACTTATTTTGTCTCTCCTCTCACAAGAATACATCAAGATTAAGTAGCTAATATAGTTGAGTATCCCTTATCCTGAATGCTTGGGACTAGAGGTGTTTCAGATTTCAGAGTTTTGTTTTTGGACTTTGGAATATATTTTTTTTTTAAAGAGAGAGAGAGAGAGAGAGAATTTTTTTAATATTTATTTTTTAGTTTTCAGCGGACACAACATCTTTGTTTGTATGTGGTGCTGAGGATCGAACCTGGGCGGCACGCATGCCAGCAAGCGCACTACTGCTTGAGCCACATCCCCAGCCCTGACTTTGGAATATTTGCTTAGATATATCAGTTGAGCATATCCTTATCCAAAAAATCAGAAATCTAAAATGTACCATAATTTCAGAGCACTTTAGATTTTAAAATTTTTAAATTAGGGATGCTCAACCCCTGTCATCCTTTTTCCAGATGAGGAAGCTGAAACCTGAAGTAACTTAAAGGTCAAAGAGCTTGTAAGCAGTAGAATTAGGATCTGAACCAGGTCTGTGGGATTCCTGAACTAATACTTTTTCTTCATTTGCTTTTTAAAATTGTGTTCTTTGGGGCCCTTGGGGATTCAGCTAGAACTCCATCCTGGCCATGCTTGTGTCAGCTTCAACTAGGGAAGCTCTGCTTTTGTCTGTTTCATTTATAATTTCTGAAGAGATTTAATTTGGATAAAGGGTTCCAAGATCAAACAGGACTCTTGGGCCCTGTCTACTCTTTTGCATGCTCAAACACATCTCACATACCACTARTCATACTTCTATTTCATGCTTAGCTTTTACCAAGCCCACTCCAAGGAGTACACATGGTTTCCTTAAGACCCCCTTCTTGTTGGCATTTCCTATCCCAAATCTAACCTGATAGTGCCCAGGAACCTGCCTCTCCAAGTTTCCCTTGCAGGGTCCCTTTCTTGCTGGCTCTTCTGGGACCCTTATAATGGGAAAGGGGCACTAATAGGGCTCAAGAATCTGGATGCTTCTTAGAGGAGAACAGAAGGAATCTAAGGACAGAAGGAAGAATGGAGTAGAGATATGGGTGGGTGGGAGGGGTCTTTCTGTCCCCAACACCATTAACAGAGGCTTCACGGGGTGACATTAAGAGGGTGGATTAGCCCAGATTGAGAAGTGTCACTTGGTTCTGAATTTATTAGGAGCCTTTCTCAAGGAGGTACAGATGGGCAGCAGCCTGTATTTGCACATGCTAATGCCCCTTCAACCAGCTCCAAGAATGCAACTGTGCCCCACCCAAGCCAGGGACAGAGGTCAAGGAAAGAGGTTGAGAAACAGTTCCTGTTCTTTCCACAGTCCGATGGGTCTAGACCTTGGACCTGTCACTGAAGTTGGAGAGGCAGAGCTAGAGGGAACCCAGGAAAGAAGGACAGATTCAGGACAGGAGTGGAGGTGTGTTCAGCTCACTTCACTTTCCAATTTTGAGGTCAGGAGCCAGAGGCTTGGAGCTGGAAAACTTGGGCCCAGCAATTCTCCATCGGAAGGGAGATGTCCTTGGGAAGGATCTATGGCGACGCTGATCAGTAGCTTTTCCCAAATAGCTGGGAAGATGAGAGAAAAAGGCTTAGAACTAAGAGCTGTAAAAGGGGTGCTCTGAAGTCTGCTCTTTCTTCAGACCCAAGATGATCTTGAAATGCAAACCATGTCCCTCATTTTTCCAGGAGTTATGGAATAACAAGGCTGGGGAAAGAGGAAAAGTGGGTTTTACCTGTAGATAAAACTAAGTTCCATCACTGCCATTCATTCTTTCATTTTACTTTAGCTCCAGACTTCTAGTTTTCCAAACTCCCCTTCCCCCCAGCATTCCATACCTTGGTCTTGATTTCATCCTGTGTTTCAGCAGAGGGAGGTAGGGTGAGGAGGGATAAGGGC